TTTCTGGACAATAACAATTTATTTTAAGATGAATCCCCATTTCAAAAGTAGTAAAATGTAAAAATATGTGTATCGGTAGCAACGAATACTCTAACCTCTAGTGCCTATGACTTTTTGAAATATTAGTTTTATAGGAAAATATGTTCATGTTTTTCTCAATATCATTTAATGATTTCTAGAAAAATTATATTTTAAAATAAATTAATTTTATAACACCATCAACTTTTGGTCAATAATCAGATTGATGGAATATTTTACACTGCTCCTCTGTCTACCTTACAATAGACATCCACTAAGCTATTCCCTTGCGGTGAGAAAAAATTAAAAAAAAAAAAAAAAAAAAGACTTTCAAAGTAACTGTTAAAACTTATAATAAAGTACCAAGTATTCATAAGGCGATGCAGATGGCAAGAGTACGCAATAGAGGTAATGGTACTTCTGTAATACAAATAGTAAGAAAAGCTTCTTAATATCCATAATGCAGTCCACTGACAAGAGTTCTCCAATAACGGTAAAAACCAAAGGCAATGGGAAAATCGAAGAGAGAGTATTGTATATGCCTGAATATAAGGCACATCATTTCGCCCAAAAGTTAGGCCTCAGAATTATATTCGTATGGTCAAAACTTTAAAATTCACTTCTGAGGCATCACAGGAGAATGCTTAAGGCATAAGCTTTGAATCCACCTTATCTAGATTCAAATCTTTTCTACCTTGTTTATTGCTTGTGAGTTCTTAGATGAGATAACCTTTCTGTGTCTTGCTTTCTCCACTGTCTAAATACAGAGATAGTGATAACTCCTACCTCCCAGCTGTGTTGAGATGATTAAAAGAGTTTATCACGTGTAACTATGCCTGATACACAGAATCTATGTATCACAGGATCTCTACCCTTCTTCAATTATTATACATTAATCTGAACTGCAAGCTATTGAACTACTGAAGTGTGTGTGTGTGGGCGGGGTGGGGGGTAGTGTAGCATGAAACATCCTCAGTCAGTACTAGCGGAGGAAAAATGCAGAGGTCATCTGATAAAATTGATTTAAAATACCAGGAGACCAAGATATTTAAAACAAATTAAGTGTTTATGGGGGTGTGACCCACAATTTTAAGTGTCCCATGTTACTTCAAGCATCCTTTTAAAAATTATTCAAAGAAACAAAAATTGGTGGAGATCACTAATGTACATATTTAGGATGAATGAGAAAAACCAACTTCTTAGTATAAAGCATATGGGGACTTGTGGTTTGTAATAAAATTCTCGGTGACAGAATCATGAAAGGATGCAGAAAGTTAGATACTGTCAAAAATATAGACAAAAGTAAAAATAATATGTTCTGGAAAAAAAAAACACTGATGATTCAAAATGTGACTTTCATGATGAAGTCATTGATGTTAAAGTTGCATGTTAAAATTTGAATAAAATTATTTATAAAACATGAATGAAAAAGGAAGTATTTATACATTAATATATAATTTTACTTTTATAAATTTTTATCTAAAATATTGAATTACATATAAGTACACATATGTCTATTTTACCTATATCTCTAGAATTTTATATTTGACAAAAATAATTTTGGGTTTTCCTTTAGATAAAAATGAAGTGATTAAATCCTGTTGTACCTAATTCTGGGTATCAGAGGTTTGGAAAGGCTTGAGAGGGAGATGGGATTCGAACCTAGTCTTGAAGAATAATTGAAGAAACGAGAACTGAATGTATTAAGGGACTTCTGTTTTCTAGATGCCTTAGATATGTAACCACAGTAAATTCTCATAGGTATTTTTATTCCCAGTTCACAGATGGGGAAATTGAGGCTTAGATATGTAAATGAGTTTGCTCAAAATGTCACAACCCACACAATCAGGCTTCATTTTGCGTGCAGGCCTTTTCAATTCCAGGCACTGTGCTTTCCCTAAGAGGCATCAGTGCAGCAGGTGGATCCCAGAGAAGACTGTGTTAGAACTTTCTCTCTTGTGGTCCTAATTGGTGTAAATTGCTCAACCTCTCTTTCTTCAGTTTCTTACCATGGGGATAATAACATCATCTCTTCAAGGAGCTGTTGAGATAATTAAATGAGCTTTTACAAGTAAAGTGCCAGGAATAGCAACTGGCTCATAAGTGCTCTGTGGGTGTTAGCCTCCATGATGTAAGGAAAGGTTAAGGAGGAAAAGGAAGGAGAGAAAGAGAGAGGGAGGAGGAAGATTTCCACTCTCTCAAATTGCCTCTTTCAGAAGCAGAGTGCATTCTGGATAGAAGGGATGAGAAGAGCAAACGTACGAAATATGGCAAGGACAAAGTTATATTTGCTCTCTTACTTAAAATGGAGGAACTAGAGGTTGGTCATTTTGGAATAAATCTAGCCTAGATGAAAATCCATATAATCCAATGGCCTTGACAGTAAACAGGTTTTTATACCTCAATTCTTATAAAGTTAATTTTCCTGTCTATTTTGTTCCCTGAATGCCTCATTGTGAAGGCTGCTACATAAATAATTTTTATAGCCTACAAATACAGACTAATTGTGTTCAATTTACCTATTGTTCACTATTTAATCTCTTTAAGTCTCAAGTAAGCCTATATTTATAAAATTTGAAAAAAAATTCCAACTCAGAGTTGTTGTATATAACATATATGTTAGATGTTTGGCTAGAACCTGGTATGATTAATGAACAATAAATAAAAGGTAGTTTTTGCCATATTTCCTCAGACACCTTTTATTTTCCTCCATATATTAAGGTTCTTAAAACCAGAGTACATCTTATAACCAACATATACATTCATGGGGGAGCTTCGTTTTTCTTCTCTTTCCAGAGCTATTATTAAATCATTGGTGCGCCTCACAGCTCTTAACTTCATTTGCCCTCGGAGAAGACTAAATCCAGAGATAGTATTGTATTTGCTAACCACTGTATTCTCAAACCATCAAAAGAAAGTGTTCAATAAATTTTTAAATAATAAATGACTGAATAACAATCAAGGAACTATGAAATTGTCACAGAGAGGCACGAGATCCCAATTAGTTTATAAAATCTGCCAAGAGAAGTAACTTGAGGACAAAACAATGTTTGACATTCTGAGACATACCATAACTGATGTAAGAATTTTTGTTTATTTATAACCCACCTTGTTCAGAAAGGGATTTAAGATGGCTTACAAAGACAAAAATAAATGAAAAGTATGTACGAACTCTGAAAGGGAGAGAAGAAAAAAACAGTAAGGACCTAACATAAAGCCAGGAAAGAGATACATAAATAAAATTCTACAGGAATCCAAAAACAAGACAATTCTTGAGGTTTAGAAAATGTCAAGAAAACTTTCCTGATGGAAATAAGGTTTGTTATGAAGTATTTATTTCAAAGGAAACTGAAGATTTGGTGTCTCTGGAGCATGCCACAACTGCTTCAGAATCTCCAGGCAGGAGGGTGCTTTCTGGTGGGCAGGTATTTTAATGAAGATGGCGCCTCCCAAGAACCTGAGCTCCTGGGAAGCCTCCCACATGCTGGACTTCACCAATTATCTCATTTTCATAATAAGCTCACCACTTTCCCTAATTGCTTCACTTCCATTAACAGGTACAGGGGGAAGATAAGGACATTACATCTTTTAAGGGAGTGAATTTCAGGTACAATCTGTGAAGAGATGATTATTTAAAAAGTAAAAATAAAAACAAGGAGTTGGTCTTTGAACTCGATGTCAAACAAGTGGATTTTATAAACTTCTAAACACTGGGGGCACACAAGGTTTTTTTGGTTTGTTTCTTTCTTTTTTTTTTTTTTAAATCTCCTTGTTTTCATTTGCTGCCTCCTCATTATCGCTCCCAAGAGCAGAGTGTCAAGATCCAACTCCAGGGCGAAATGTTCTTCCCGGATCTAACAATCTAGAGTGTCAGAAGGACTGAAGGTATGGTTACCCCTCCCTACAGGAGAAAAAGGCAAGAAAGGGGAATTTAGAAAATTAGTGAGGCGGCTGTATTCCTCAGGAGAAAGAGTTCAGTTTTAAGTTGAAAATCTCCTCCAGCCCTTAAAGCTGTGTCTGCTTTGGCAAGTTGCTCTGCCTCTCAGACTCATCAACTACAAAAATGGGGACATTAACCCTTTCCTCATAAGGACGACTTGCAGGAGGATCCTATTTAATGAATGCGCTCAGCTTCATTAGCACGGGCTTCGTAAATAGAGATTCCCGCGTCCACTGAATGCAACTTTCCAAGAAGAAGTAGCCTGGAAAAATGAGCGCCCTAGACGAGTCCTAAGTTTGGGAAACTCTGAGGCAACATGGAAAGTAGTTAGTAGAGTAATACTATAATGATCAGTGGTGGTGAGGTTCCGCCCATCTGTCAGGCAACCCCCCATCAGTGCGCACCGAAAGACCAACTAACCCGCAGGAGCCAGGGAGCGGTCACGGGCATCTCCCTCCCAGGAGGGTAATGCCCTAGCCGATCCCCGCTCCCGGACGCGCCCTCGCAGCCTCCCCAGC